CGAGCTTTGATTTCATTTGTGGATGGACACAGATGTGAGTCTGCAGGTTCATTTAAGTGCTGCTTGACCGATGAAACAGATAGTATGGTGTCATATCCTTAAACATGCTGAATCAAAATCAAGTTACATTTATTAAAAAAATGATTGGGTCGGTCTTAGGGCGCATAATTAACAGCCAGCTGGTTCTTTAATCACCTTAATAATTGTTATGGTGCAAGACTAGGCAACATGTATGGTATAAAACAAGGGACGGAAAGCAACAGGCATGCGTGTTAAACATAAAATATATGTTTTGCTGCTGAGGAATGGACTTTAGTTTTACATTACCATGTGCAGAGCGGGTTATATAATGTATGTAAAGGTGCTCTGATAAATAAAATAAAAACATGCCAATAGGAGTTATACACGTCAATAAATATTAGAGATGGAAACAGAGAGCATATAGAGGATATAGTGTATGTGCCTTGTTTTTAAACTAAAATGCAATGTAGCACCCTTTGCTGCACATCACTTCAAAGCATATGAGCTCCAGTTGAATCATACGCGTGTACGCCGAATACTTTGAGAATAATGAAGAGGCATCATTTAAACAGATATATATATATATATATATATATATATATATTATATAAGCAAATAGGAGTTTACACGGGCAGCAGCAAGCGCCAGGAAATATTGCAATTGTGAAAATAGTAAATTGAACGACTACTTCTGAGGCTGTCATCTTGGGAAACAAATTGCGAGAAAATGGCTAAATTGCAAACAGAGCAATGATTCCCTTTCACTCTGGCATGCATAACAAGTTGACATTTGTGCTAAAGCCTGACAAGAACCCTCGTCTCGCTGAATTTCGGGCTGTCGGGTTGTGTCTTATTACTCCATTTCAAAATATCGCTGAAAAACAAGGTTATTTGCTGCATCTGAACCTCGAGGCGGTTTTTCGAAGGCAGACGGCTCCATTGTCTCATTTTCCCCGGGATGAGGTACAGCTCCACAAACGCAGGGTTACGGGCCAGAGTGCGGATGTTTTTCATCGTCATTTAAATGCAGCTCTCTGCAGTGGCCCTTGCTGGTGTCTGCAGGTGGCAAGGACTAATGGGAAATGGCGGCGACAGTGCTGGCCCGACTAAAAAACAGCAAACCTGCATAATAACTCGGCCCGTTACGGTGTGCTGAAAAGTGAATAAAATTGTACAGCGTGAGAGAGAATTGTGTACGAGCATGTTTATGTTGTCGTGTCTGTGAGCGCGTGGCTTTGAGTGACAGAGAAAATAAATGAAAATGTGTGTGTGTGTGTGTGTGTGTGTGTTGGTGGACGCCAAAACTTATCCAAGCAGTCCAGGCCTGCAGTTAGCAGTGGTGTGCTAGCTGAGGTGGAACGGTGGAAGGCAGATTGCTTGGGGGGTGCCACACTTCCTCCTGCTTTTCATTTAGCAGCTTAACCAATCCAATCCCACAACCAGGAGAGGAGATTCACACTCGCTCTCCTTACTGTGTTCAATAACAATGCACGAATTAGCCTTTTGAAATTACTTTCTGCATGGGTTTTTAAATTAAAACTATTAAAAGTGGATTAATCCCTCTCAGGACCCCAGGCATGTAACTCGCCAGCAGTTTGTCATACGTTGCCGCTCCCCGATTCCTATAATTCACATTAAAGACAATTAGCTCACACTTGTGTACAGTGAGTGACTACACTGCAGTGGCTGAGCAGCTTTAGAGGGTTATTATGTATCAAACAGAATGACCTCAAAAGAACAACTTTTGCATCTGAGAGTTTTAACCTGTAACTTTCCAATCTAGTGTCTCCACAAATTAGAAAAGGTGGTGGAATCTATGACAGAGTATTTAGATTTCAAACCAATACGCAAGTAATTAATGTATTGCAGCAGAACGAACACAGGTTCCCAACTGAGCGAAGCACAAATCAATCAAAACCATAATTTCCATCTATTACACAAAACAACAAGTTGTTAATATTGTGCTGTGCTAACTAGCTGCAACACATCTAGTTAGCCTCCAGGCCTGGGCAAATTGGTGTCGCAATTCAGTGTAATAATGCGTAGATTGATGAGAACAGGTTGGAAACCTTTATTATATTGCTGCAAGGGCATGTTGTTTCTGTGAATGCATGTTGTCGGCTGAAAAGGCACGACCGAGTTGGGTAAATGGTTAATGCCTGTGTAGGATTGTCTGTCAACATGTTGTTGCCTTTGGACAGTTTCAGGGCTCTATACTATTGGATGCGCTCTCACAAACTTTAAGCAGACAAGTTTAGGACATCTCTTAAGCATGTTTTCAAAATTCATCCTGTTAGGAACATTTATAAAATTCCATGGCAATCATTTTAATAGTTGTCGAGACCTTTCACTAAAAACACACACAAAAAAACTCAGTCCCCAGAATATCTGACATTGGTAATCCTCTATGAATATGTATAAGAAATTTTAGAGCAATTTGTCCAACAGTTGAGGAGATAAGTCACAATAAAAAACAGTAAGACAAAGCAAAAGATGAAACAGCAAAGACATAGAGAGCGCCAAAAACAGAGCGGCTGGGAATTAATAACAGAGAGAGAAACAGAGTGACAGAGATGCAGAGAAAGACAGGAGGAGAAAGAAAGGCAAACATGAGAGGAAAGTGATGCCGTGAGGGCTCTTGGATGAAGCATGTTGAGATAAGAGCTGTTCAACGGGCCCTTAAGAACCTGGCAGGCCCACGTTTGAACTCTGAGGCTCAGTGGATCCCAGGCAGAAATCTCTTGAAATTAAACTACTAAAGCCGACAAGAGAAGAAATCTTTCTCTTTCCTCACCGACGCTAATCTGTGTCAAAAAAAAAAGAAGTTCTTGGTAAAACCTATTATTTTTGGTTGATCAATTTGTGAAAATGAACCTTTTTATAATGTAATGTATAATGTAACGTTCACCATGCTAGTTTTGCTAATTAGCACGAAACACAATGTGCCATGAGGCTAATGGTGAGTCATTAGAATTCATCATCTGGGGACCATGAATGTCTGTGCAATCTATCTAGCAGATGGGACATTTCATTGAATGACCTGCTGCACTAGAAGAACATTTAGGACAACGGATCTGTACGACTATACCAATCGGCATTTCACAAAAAAGTGACGATTGCGATCAATCTTCTTGTGACCATGAACGTCTGCAGAAATGTCCGTGGCAATCCAACCAGTAGTTGTTTAGACATTGTGTTCTGGACCAAAGTTGTGGACTGACTGACATCGCCACGCAGAGAGTCATACTGTTAGCATGACTAACATTATAACATGATGTTTAGTCACCAGCCTCTATCGTACTTGCGAGTGCAAAGAATGAAGCTGACCTATGTGTCTTCAAGCTGATGGCGTTTAGGAACTTCCTGAATTCATAATGTTTCTCAAGTCTGCCATCGTAGACTTCCCCCACAGGCTCTGTCTGCTCTCAGTACGCCTGCCAAGTCCTGTTCAAATTGTGAACATTTCCATAATTATCGTTTCTTTTTTTTTTACCATTTTCTCGCAAGAGCGGACACACTTTAACCACACAAAGGTTAGCGAGGCTTTTTACTCTGCGCATAGCTCAAATATGCCGCAGCAATCCATTAAAAAAAAACCTATAACCATCTTAAGTTCAATCTGAAATGGGATCCAACAAAAAGCAGCAATCTTATTTGAACTTGGTTAAGGGAAAAAAGGCGATAGAGAGGGCGTTAAGACGAGCATGAAAGTAAGAACAGATGAGTCAGTTGATGCCTCATCTTCAAACTCCCGACAGCCTCCGGAGTCTCACTCAGTGGGTGAATCGGCTTTAATCTACTGGCGTCCATCTGAAACACAGGTTCTTTAGAACTGTAACCCCTCCGACTGCTATCGTCTTTGAAGACGTCTTCTGATGTATTACATGGTGGGAGTGACAGAAAAGACGGAGTGGCTCCCCCCCCCCCCCCCTTTGTTTGAGCTGTAATTGTTTTATAACCACCTGCGGGGAGCCACGGTAGAAATCAGATGTGCAGGACATCGGAAGTGCCGAGAGTCATTTCTCATTCGAGTACTGAATTATGTCACGATACTGTGATTCCAATAAATGAAAACCAGCAGGATGGCAATCGTCGCAGGGAATGCTACTCTGATCCAAGGTGTCATTCAGAGCAAATTGCTCACACTGTGGGGAAATGGGTATTTCTCACATTTGTCAAAAAAAAAAAAAAGAAGCTTTGTTAACAAGTGGCAGTGCAGGGTAAAATCACTTTACCTGAATATGTGTTTAGCCTTTTCGTTATGAAACATTTAATACACTATGTTGTTCTCTTGAAGCGGTCTGTAAAGTTAACTTAAAGATCGGTGATGACTCAGTTGTCTGCACTGTCTGTTATTAGTTTGCACTAATAACTGATTCCCGGTATTTCCTCTAACTATTTTCTTCTTCTTCTTTCGCTGCTTTTTTGAAACGAAGTTGAAACGAAGTGAATCAACGACGAAGAACGCTAAGGAACGACACGGAACACGAGAACACGAAGAGAAGAAGAGAGAGCGGAGCTGATGTTTTGTATGCGATGATATTAGACCGTGTTGCTACTGTTAAGAAGCCAGGCCACCCCCCCCCCCCCCCCCCCCCCCCCCCCCCCCCCCCCCCCCCCCCCCCACCCCCACCCCACCCCACCCCACAGTGAGCTGGCAACCAAAGTCACCTTCTGGCAGCTGTCTACTGTCATCTACTAATGCACTCACAACGACTTCTGAACCTCCCAGTTAATGACCAGGGAGGTAATGGAGAGGGATGTAGGCCACGGACGGCTCTACGCTCTGGATTTTTAGGGGTTTTTTTTGCACACAACCGGGACAACCGCGGCTCATTTGCAATATCGATATGAAGCCACGCCCGGCGTATCACCATCGGCGTCACCAGCTGGATGTGAGAGCAGGTATGGATTAATGTACGTGTGCGCGCGACCTCAGTCCTGAACACAGAGCTTTTGTGTCTTGTGTGTGCACGTTACCTGAAAGTCCCTCTCCTCTAGGATCTCTTTCCTCCACCTCACCAGGAAGGCGGCGCACACGTAGAGGTGGAAATGGGAGAAGCCCTCTGGTTCAGCCTGGTGAGAGAGAGAGAGAGAG